AAAATTTCCAAAAAAAAACTGAAAACAAACAAACAAAAAACTGCAACAGAAATATAAGAATAGCTGGAATTTCAGATACAGTGCTTCACTCTCAGATAGTTGACACACTGAGTCCAAGCTGGCAAACATTAAAATACTTTTTAATATAACACTTATACAACACAGTAAGCCAACTTAATTCTGTAGGAGACAGCAGTGAACAAATCATAAGCAGAATTGAGAAAGTTTCATGAATCCAAAACTTTCTCCTTACATTCCAATGGACTAAAGGCCTACCCATTACCAATTTAAAAATATCAAAGGAGAGGATTTGCTTTCAGCTCCTCGCTATGAATGTAGACGTGATCCTAGAGATGGTGCCGAACCTTTTGTGCATCATAGACATCTCTGAAAGTCTAACTAAGGTTATGGGTCTTTTTCCTGAACAGCACACACACCCTATTTTACAAGCAACTTCAGGGATTCACAGATTCTTTCAAACTCTAAAGTTAAGAACCCTAGTTTACAGCAACATATAGTATTGATACAGGTTAAGAGATGTAAGCAATCAAAACCAAACCGAATCAATTATGACTCATGGTGACCCTACACGGCAGGGGAGAGCTGCCCGTTTGTTTCTGACACTGTAGCTCTTTACAGGAGTAGAACGCCTCATCTTTCTCCCAAGAAAAGCAAAGGTAGAGAGAAATAAGAGATCATACAGTACCGGGGCCACCTGCACCACTTGAAGCTGTATGTGCTGAGGCTGTTGGAGACCGGAAGTGGACTGTGATACTGGGATATACTGAATTCTCTGGTAATCTCCTTGAGGGGTCCGGTAATCTGTTGTTAAGGTCTGGGACAGTTCTGTCATTGCTTGGGTGAGTAGGTCCGTTGTCTAGGGGGAAAAAATCAGAAAACATGTTAGTTGGTAGCTGTTTTGTAGCTATTACAACTCTTTTAAATCCGCCTAAGATTTAGTTTGTCTCACTGGTGGTTCATCAAACTATAGGTCAGACCCAAACCCAGAGGGTAAAGAAAATCTGATGTTGGGAAGATATTATAAAAAGAAAAAAGTGAAATAAAATGTGTGTGTGTGTGTGTGTTCAAGGAAGCTGCAAAAAAATTGGAGAGAAAAATTTATTATTTCAATTCTATTTTTCCAAGAACTTTTTGAAGCTCCCTCATGCATGTGTTGCGGGACAAAATTCACTGCTATTGAGTTGATTCTAACACATAGCAACTCCATGTGACAGAGTAGAACTTTTCCATAAGATTTTCTTGGCTGTAATTCTTAATGGAAACAGATTGTCAGGTGTACCATCCAAGTGTGTGTGTGTGTCTGAGAGAGAGAGTGTGTGTGTGTGT